GGGATTCGAACCCGCGACCCACAGATTGCGAGTCGAGCGCCCTAACCACCTGGCCATGCCGGGGCCTTATTGTCGTGAGTACAAATGTTTCCCAAGATTCTAAATCTTCAAGTATTTGTATGTTTTCTTATAGCAAAGCCACATCGGGTTATCTGTTGTGTCCACCGAGGAGAATCGAACCCCTGATTTTAGCGTTGTAAACCCGAAGATTACCGCTGTCCCACCTGGGGACTTCAAGTGTTAAGAAAATGTCACAAGCACCTAAACGCAGTAATAACGTGACAACAGAGGGCGCTGAAGTTTTAAATGGGTTCAGATCACCGTAAATCGTTTGCATGGATTTAATGATCCCAGCCTAGGAATTGGATTTACAGATCTCAACCACCAGGTGACCCTGTTTATGGGACGTTTGTTACGTTTGTTGCATGTTGTCGCTTTGCTTTTTCTCGTCAACGTCGTCATCGGCCTTGGTCTTCTCTCTGCCTTCTGAACTTCCAGACATTTTTCAAGTTATCATATCCGCCTAATTAATAGTTATGACTCATCTCCGAAGCTTTATTAACCCCACGAACAGAGCAAGAACTTTTTCGCGTGCGGGGCGAAGAGGGATATCAGTATTCTTGAATATCCCAGTTTAGGAAAGTTTCTTTTCTTTAAAAACTAGATCCCTGCCACGGTTTTTTGTTTTTGTTTTAAATCGTTTGTTTGTTTGTTGCGTAGAAATACACAATGCACTATCTGTGCTCTGTCAGTGGGTATCGGAACCCAATTTTTAGTGGTATAAGCCCTCAGACTTACTGCTGAACCACCAGAGGGCCCGTAAGTCATAAGTCCTATATCAATAACGTAATTCAGTATTTTACTCTTAATTAGTTATCCCCCAGTGGAACAGCGGTAAGTTTACTGATTTACAACGCTAGAATACGGGGTTCGATTCCCCGCAGATAATTCACTTTACTCTAAAGACGAAACAAGCAAAGTTAATCAGTTTCGTTAATGTTTTCTCAAATCACAGATTTTGGGCCTTTATTACTTCAGCCAATGTGATGATCGGTCAGTAAACGTGTTACAATACTTATCAAAATAGAATTAGTTATTTCGAAAGTTTCCATACTTCAGTATCTTATAGACAGCCGTATGTCAGGGAAAGTCCCTAAACATAAACCATCTGTTATAAGTTACTACGATTTTATGTGATATCAGCATCCTTTGTTTCCTGCAGCAAGCTTCCTGTAATTTAATTAGCTCTGGTTCCTGGAAATCTGTACCAACTTCCGCTATGTTTGATATTATCTGAGAACAAACACCCAAATCTCATGCGTGGTTTAATCAAAATTGTGTAACCTCCCTCTTCCTATGATTTTGGTCTACTGACTGCTAAGATAAAATAATTTTGTGTGTGTTACATGAAGGAACATTTCGACGTGATTGTACTATTTATGTAGCAGTAAAAACCAGGCGAGGCTCTTTTCGAAACGTTAGATCTCTGGCATTACTTTAGACAAAATAGTACAAATCAACTTGTAAAAAAATACACATATGTTATCTTAAGTAAGCTCTGTGAAAGAAATAAGCTGTTTGTAAAGAGTGTCTGTTCAAATGTATTAATAAGATTTTACTTTTCACCTGACTCTCAGTGGCTCAGCCGTAAGCATAAGGGCATATACGCTAAAAATCGGTGTTTGATACCCAGATAGCTCACTGTGTAGCTTTGCGCTTAACTACAAACAAACAAATAAACTTCTGCTGTTACCGAAACTTTTATCACAAATTTTAGGTCTATTTGTTTCTAATGTTTCACCAGCTTTCGGCTTGTAAACCTTAACTTTTAGAGTAATAATATTTATCATATAAAGGAGAAAGAAAGAAACACGTTTGATAATTCATGTTATTTATTTATTTTTTATAATTTTAGAAAATATTTTGTAAGAAAGCAGTATGATTTATTATTATTGAAATTTAAATGTGATACATTTGTGAATGCCTAATCAAAATGAACCAATAAATAAACATTTAAGACTAGTTGTCTAGGTCTGCACATTTTCACGTGAAAACAAAAGTTACTTTTTTTTAGAAAATCGATGTTTGAAAGTAGATTCACAAGCTTTAATGGCAATTAAAACGCAGAAAAAAAATAAAAACTTAAAATTATTATTGCACTGCAAGTAAAAGAGATCAAAACTAAATAGTTACAAAATTTTTTTGGAAATACCGTATTGGCCCGATTATAAGGCGATGTTTTTATTATTATTGATAATTAGGCTGTAAAATTCATAGTAACCTTATAAGCGCGCCTGACCACAGGCCCCTTTCCCCTATTCTAGCCTGTTGCATTCCTGAATGGCCAGATACCGTTTACACATGCGCGCCAGATATTCACTCAATGTCATCGCTAATTCTTGCAATTAATCCATCTGCAGGCTCTTCAGTTATAGTATTGATTTTGCGGACCTAAAAAAAGGACGTTATGACACTCAATTTGTTTTCTTTCCCATGGTTTCTGAAAATGGGGTGGCCTTACATTCGAGATCGCCCTATAATCGGGCCAATACGGAAGTTATATAGGCTTAGGCTGAAGGCATGTTATTAACACGACCCATAAAGAGAACTAAGCCTGTTTGGCGGTCTTTGATGAAGAAAAGGAACGGATGATTGACTCTAACTATCGGAACTCCGCGAAAAACCGCACCAGAGACCGCTGCAGCTTCAGTTCCTTCTTCGTTTACTTCTAGCACGGCTTTATGGACTACATCCGAGAGGGTAAGCCCCCTATCTTCACCGATTCCTGAATAATCTAACGAGAAAAATCCCAGAAGACCTATCGCTGATAACGCCCTCTTGAGTTCATTGTCTTCATATTTCAAACTTAACTTGAATCGTGGGAGGGACAGATCGACAAGAGTGTTCTCCAGTTCTTTAGAAAGGCGGTTCAAAAATTCCGGGTTTAGTGCTCTCTCTACAAATGAAAGGTCAACATTTTCTTCTGGAAGTACTAATAACATGCTGGTTTTATTTCCGGTGTAAAGTATGTCCAAAACATGGATCATAAGGTCAGAGTTGAACCCATACAAAAATGTAGCTTTCTGTGCCATCATTGGGACCATGACTTCCTCTCCGTTTAGGTTAAAGAATGTGGTTGGATTTGTGTTGATAGGATTGAATTTCAAGGACCAGCTCTCTTTAAAGTAAATGACATTTAATGCTACCAATATTGCCCCGCCTAACGAATTGCCAGAGAAAAGTTCGGAAATCTTGTTTCTCGTCTTTTGACTAACCCAATGATTGATATAATTAGTAGCTACGTCTAGGTTATTAGCGAAGTCCAGTTCTGTTAATTTTCCATCATAATACTGACCAAGTTTAGTCTTATATGAATCTAAGATTTTCAGCCCACTTTGTAGAAACACGCCGTTAGCTACGTAAATACTATTGTCAGCCAGTAAGGCGGTCAGCTCTTTAAATGTTTCATGGACATCTTTTCCTCCAAAGTTGGTCCCTTCGAATCCCAGTTTCTCTCCAATAACCTGTGATTGAGGTCCTCTAGTGCCCAGGTATAACATTCCAAAAAGAGAAGACAAGCTAAATGGAGAGAAGAAGACGTTTCCATCGCCTGCGATCTCTGGATAAAGTTGGAAACCAATCTGGTTCACAATCTTGGCGAGGTTGATAAGACCGACCTCACTTTGAGTCTCTATTTCACCAACTTCTTCTGAACTTCGCCAAAGAATCAGTAGCACAACAAATACACCCCAGTATCTACCGAAAAGAAAATAATCAATTAACTAATAAATACAATCTATTAAAACATTACTGTTAGACATTTGAATTTCTTGTTACTTACCAAATCAACAAACAAAACTTTACAATATTTAAATCAGTGTGAGAAACAGCAACGTATAGTAAATAAAACATTGCAAATGAATTTAAATGCAATGTCAAGAACACAACAGATATTCGAGTGGGGAATTGAGTGTCATTAGAGTTTAGGACTATTCTGTCGCATAGTGCTACTCATAATTCGAGACTCTTTATTGCCTTCTGTAATGTTATTTGATATATTTAGTTCTGTTTTGTCTCGTAATATTATATAACATTCAGGATTATTTTGTCTCGTTTCATGTTATTCAATACTGAGGACTGTTGTTTCATGTATGTAATTTAGGATTAAAGACTATTTTCCTCTCGTAATGTTACTTAACATTCAGAACTATTTAGTTTTGTGGTGTGTTTATGTTTTATTATAGCAAAGCCACAACACGTTATATGTTGTGTCTACCTTGGGGAATCAAACCCCTGATTTTAGCTGTCCCTCCGGGGGCTTTTTATGGTAATATTTAGTATTAAGGACTATTTTCTTTCGTAATTTTATTTAGCATTCAGGGCTATTTTGTTTCGTATTACTATTTAGCATTCAGGGATATTTTCCCTATTAATGTTATTTAGTATTAAGGACTATTTTGCCTAGTAATATTATTCAGCAGTCAGAACTATTTTGTTTCGTGGACTGCTATTTACATTCAGGAATAATTTTAGATCGTCAAACTTGTTCTCTGATTTTCCTTTACATATTATTCTATAAGAGGAACTAGAAAAAAAGAAAGCTTTAAGATTGAATAACCAAGATTCATATCACAGCCAATAAAACGTAAAGTTAAGTAATCAATCAACTAATAATTAATTTGAAACCCAGAATAATCGGCCAAATTTCTGAATTTTATTAATGAAAATAAAGGTGTAACGTTATAAGAAAAAAAAGTCTTAAAAGAATAAAAGTTATTTTTGAACATTTGGCAGGATTAGAGTAAATTAATCTATGATACCTTTTTCCCTTTTTATGATCTATATTTTTGTGCACCAGCAATACCAAGCGTAAAGCGCGCGTATACCCGATTCAGTTTTATTTATGGATCTCTACCAGCCTACTCTCAAATTGAAATTATTTTAGGCAGGATTAGTTTGTTTGTTTGTTTTTAATTTCGCGAAAAGCTACACGAGGGCTATCTGCGCTAGCCGTCCCTAATTTAGCAGTGTAAGACTAGAGGGAAGGCAGCTAGTCATCACCACCAACTGTCAACTCTTGGGCTACTCTTTTACTAACGATTGACCGTCACATTATAATGCCCCACGGCTGAAAAGGCAAGCATGGTTGGTGTGACGGGGATTCGAACCCGCGACTCTTAGATTGCGAGTCGAGCGCCCTAACCACCTGGCCATGCCGGGCCGACAGGATTAGAGTAAATTAATCCATGAAACCTTGGGCGTGATCAAATACATCAGTCGAAAGGGTTTTACCTCCTGAGTCCAAAACTGTAATTAGATCTCAAATTGGTCAAGAGATGACAGAGCTATGAGCTAAAAGTTTGTACTTGATAACAAAAAAACAAACAAAAACAAATTGAGAGTCGTTCTATGAGCCGCTATGACGCGGCTAAAAATTGATAGTTGAATAAATTGATATATATATATATATGAAATACACTGCAATGAGGTTCTCTCTCTCACACACACATTCATACTAGATAGATACAAGAAAGCCAACTACATATCAAATACAAGCATCGCTACTTAGGGTTTATTTTTTTACATCTAATTGGTTTATGTTAATTTAAATGTGCTCGAAATTCAAGAATTTTACAGGAATACTTGCCTGATAGAATTTGAAGTCATGCTTATGCCGAGGTCAACGAATAACCGTTTCCATATCTTACAGACTATCATATAAATACTGTTTAACATTATCTTACAACACACGCAATGATTTAAATAGAATTAGTGTGAATTTCCTGTACGCGTTTTGAACTATCGAGAATTTCAAATGGGATTACAGTCGTTCCCGTTTTCATATGAAGACATCATAATATCTCTTTGTTTATCGTCCAATTTCCTTTGAACGTGAAGGAGTTGCTTTATGAAAGATTATCTTTTGTTTCAGTGCTCTATTTCTCTCTATTTCATCTCTACTGATATTCAAAAAGTAGAAAGCTGATACATTTTCAGGTGGTCAAGGGGATTTTTTTTTGTCTATTTAGAGATGGAGAAATCAAGTCCTTTCATCCATTTCATTTAAAGCTGAAAATTCTTTCTTGGTCTTGTACGCTCGTATGATATAATGCTTGTGGCGCCCCCATTTGCTTTCGACTGAAAATGAAATATGCATCTTAACACTGAGACGAAAGATAAAACATCAAGTCAATTGATAGGAGCATGGTTGCCATTAAAGCGAAGTAGCCCCTTGGTGGCTTAGTTGTAAAACTAATGGCTTATAACGGTAGAATTGGGGTTTCGATAATACCCACGGTGGGCACAGAACAGACAGTTTTGTGTTTAATAGCAAAGAAACAAACTTCCACTCAAATTATTAATTTAACCAGATCATTTAAAAGTTTTATACAGATTTATACATATCACTGTAATTTTCTATTCAAAAATGGTGTTAAACTTGGTTACTGTAACTGACTTCACTACTTGTGTAGTATAAGGGCATCTACTGGAGTCTTGAATTGTAACTTATTTACTTGACACTAGATGGTGCCAGAGTAGTCCAAAATAATCTTATCTATACAAATTGGAAGATGCCACAGTTGGGATATTATAAAATTTAAAATAATTTTTAAATTAAAGTTTTAAGTTTTAATTTTAAGTTAAAGAAACAAAATATATTAATTAATTAAATTTCAGGTAAAAGTAAGCATAATTATTATTCATATTAAGAACCTTTTCAAAATATGATAGAACTTAGTATATGAGCAATTTAAGTCTGGAATTTTACGAACATTTCTCTTTTCAAAAAATTTTATTGTGATAAATTTATTCCTTTTTGATGTTAAATGACCAAAAAAAAGAAGAAATATTAAGTTCCAAACTAATCTACTCTTTCTGCCCCTGCATGTCGCATGATATGAGTAATAATTTTTTTGCTCGGGCTGAAGAATGGGATTAGCTGTATACAGACGATGTTTCTATGTAAATATGTACGCAGGTGATGTTTCTATCGT